TTTTTTGTGGCACAAGTTTTAAACCCCTTCTGCACCATTTAACTTTCCAGTATGAGAAGAGTATACAGTACCTGGATGGCAAAGACAGACAGCACTCCAGTTCCGATGGTGTTCATCAGACCCATGTAATAGTTGACCAGGGCCTCTCTGCAGCCTCGGACATAGATGTTGAGCTCCTCTGTCTGGTAGTCATAGTTATAATGAGCGGAATTGTTGGTGATCTGATGCTGAATGCATGGTCGTGGAGAGCTGGGGTTACAGCAACTAAATGGGACACCGTGGACCAAGTAACGGCCATCCACATTGCTCTTTATGTAGCTGCGGAAATAAAGGACACAACAGGTTACAGGTATAAAGTGCATGCTTTAATGAGGAAGTAGAGTCCTCCAACTTACTCTTTCACTTCCTTAGAGCTGAAATCAAGGTAACGGTTGCTGATCCACTGCACGTCGAACCAGTCCCTTAAGTCATTGTTTCCACAACACTGAAACTCCATCTGCAACCGATCGATGTTCTGTTTCTGGAAGCAGCGTCCTGGTGTGTCTGTGTCCTTGTAGAACCGGATGCCATTTTTTAAGCCAATCTTCAGGGACGACTCCAGGCTGCCCTTCATTACGTAGCTCATGATAACAGCAAGCAGCATGAGGGTGGTGAAAAAACAAGACACGGCATAGTAGGGTTTCAAAAAGTTCTTCCAGCGAGGAAACCGCGCAGCGTCGAGAGCATCCTGAGAGATCTTCGAAGCAAAGAAGTTGGTTCCCATAGAGACCAGACCAACAATCATGAAGGTGTTGGGAACAATGTGTATGTTTGAGTTGTCCATTAGCTGGAAAGAAGTCACATTAAATCAGTACAGCGCCCATAGCTTGTAAGCATTTAGTTTGTAATTCCTGTGTAAAGTATTACTGTAATTCGTCCCTGTCTTTATTGCTTTGCAGGAGCTTAAAGAAAAACACCATCGGTTGTTTTCTTAGTTGATAGATGAGTTCAAGTTGTACTTCTTTGTATCAGTTCTCATTGGTTTCCTTTTAATGTTGGCTGATTTGCAGTTTGTCTTTTATGCACTGGGTTATATTGAACTGTTGGTAGCGGGATCTTTCAAGGTGACTTTTACTTTTTGTATTGTAACTCTGA